TACTTTACAGTGTTCACCAATTACAATATAAAAAAAATTTCGCTCGCAGAGTACTCTGTCAACAAAACAGAAAGCTAAGCTAGTTCACAATAATTTACATTAGTTATATAAAAAGGACGAGGTAGTCATACTTCCTTTCATAACAGTTGTCACCTAAACAGAAAGCTAAGCTAGTTCACAATAATTTCCATTAGGTATAAAAAGGACGAGGTAGTCATACTTTCTTTCATAACAGTTGTCACCTAAACAGAAAGCTAAGCTAGTTCACAATAATTACATAATAGTTATTGAAAAACTGGTCATTATCGTGATATATGGACTGATCACAGGACAGTGGTATTGACTAAGAAAGCGATAATGACTGAGCCTTTTTTTTTCTGTTAAAGACCGATGGAATTTTTTACTAAAGAATAAAGAATGTCATGTGGCCCTTTTTATCCAATAAGAGAAGCTAATTCTTAACCAATATGAAATAATTTATTTCATATCGGTTAAGAATTAGCTTCTCTTATTGGATAACAAGGGGCCACATGACATTTATTTCATATCGGTTAAGAATTAGCTTCTCTTATTGGATAACAAGGGGCCACATGACATTTATTTCATATCGGTTAAGAATTAGCTTCTCTTATTGGATAACAAGGGGCCACATGACATTTATTTCATATCGGTTAAGAATTAGCTTCTCTTATTGGATAACAAGGGGCCACATGACATTCTTTATTCTTTAGTAAAAAATTCCATCGGTCTTTAGCAGAAAAAAACGGACCAGAAAACCGGTCGTTAACGGAATTTTACTTAAGAATTGAATGCTCCTTTTTGTAAATTCATTGGGATGTAAAAGCGTTGACCGGAGTACATTTTGTATGAAGCGCGGAAGTTTTTCTTTTATTTACCTGTGCACTTTATTGTGGAAACGTGTGTCATCATGTATGTTACAATTCATGCAATTCAGTTTGAAATGAAGAATGACGCGAGATTGCTGTTAGCCAATCAAAATAACGTATAATAATGAAACATACATCTAATGTAATTATATGTTAATGACCAGTGGGGCGTGGTTTTTCTGTTTAGATTGATGTCCCTTTAATAAAACGCAATCACGATTCAGACGTTTGGAACATGGCTGAACTGGAAGGCACGTCTGCTACAGACAATTCAAATGATCGTTTTGTCGTACTTTCCGATGCTGATAGAGACAAACTACTCAGCAACAAGAATTATAAAATTATAGAAAACTCTATTTTGTATTCATATACCATGTATACTGAAAAATTGCATTTAAATGAATGGTAGTGACTTATAGTTATCACTATGACTGGTCTTCACTCTTTCCTATAGACATCGTACAATAACTCCGAGTTTGCTTTGAACAATTTGAATTTGTGAGAATTTAAAAAAAAACATGGTTCCTCAATGAAATAAACATAATAGTTCAATAACTATTATATAATTAGATATTAAAAGGACGAGGTAGTCATACTTCCTTTCATAACAGTCGAATCGAAGTTTTAAGGCACTGGCTACGGTTACATTGAAATGTAACAATAATAAAAAAGTTATTGTTACATTGGAGACTAATTGCCGGAATGCAGGGTTGGGTAAGGAACCGATTAATTACGAATGTAACAATAATATTTGTGTCTACGGTTACGTTGTGTAATTGTTACGTTAAAGCACTTCAATGTATGCTGGGACTAGTAATATGTATTCAAATAAAACTTGAAAACTTTTATTTGAATTTTACAATATTGCATACAATTTTTTTAATTTTTATTTACAATGGCAGTTTCTACACATCCAGTATGTTGTTTTGGGAGCATGTTTCTTTCCGACGCTTTTTTGGTGAAACCACTTTAGGCAGCCATCACAAACGAGTGATGCAGCAATGTGCAAGTCAGTTTTGCTCTCTTTACAATTCCACTCTGCAATATCCCTTTTTGGAGTTATAGACACTTTCATTGTCTGCCTTGCTTCAGGTGAAAAATATTTTTCTTAACATCGAACCATTGAACTATATTTTTCGCCTTTGGCACTACTAAACTGTAGTAGTATCTTCCCTTTTCACGAATGTGACCTACCGAATTAGACAATTTACCGGATTTGTAACATAAGCAACACGACGGGTGCCACATGTGGAGCAGGATCTGCTTACCCTTCCGGAGCACCTGAGATCACCCCCAGTTTTTGGTGGGGTTCGTGTTGCTTAGTCTTTAGTTTTCTATGTTGTGTCATCTGTACTATTATTTGTCTGTTTGTCTTTTTGTTTTTGGCCATGGCGTTGTCAGTTTGTTTTCGATCTATGAATTTGACTGTCCCTCTGGTATCTTTTGTCCTTCTTTTGAAGAACATTAAGATAATTAATACTTAAAACTATTTAAACACTATTTGAATAATAATAATAATAATAATAATAATAATAATAATAATAATAATAATAATACTATTATTATCAAGTACATGTCGAAGAATTAAGCAACAAAACTATATATATATATATTGACCTATAATGGTTTACTTTTATAAATTGTTACTTGGATGGAGAGTTGTCTCATTGGCACTCATACCACATCTTCCTATATCTATATATAGAAGGTTAAAGTTTAATAAATCTAACATAAAATTAATATAACGTAACCGTAGACATTATATTATTGTTACATTCGTAATTAATCAGTTCCTTACCCAACCGTGCATTCCGGCAACTAGTCTCCAATGTAACAATAACTTTTTTATTATTGTTACATTTCAATGTAACCGTAGTCAGTGCCAAGTTTTAATGAGCAAGCCTTTTTCATTGCTTCAACTCATACAAACAATGAAAATCCATGATAAATCGTCTAGTTAACTGCACTAAGGTACATTATTTCATTAACTTTATTGTTTCATATTGTTACGTTGATTATACTTAACAACTAGATATATTAACTGCTTTGAATAACTCCGTTTGATTCGGGGATGGCCGGAAGAACGGTTGTCATGATGTTTTTGTTCCTTCCGCTCAATTTGCAAACGGCTTTGATATAACTTTGTTGATGATATTCACCATCGATTGTGTACTATAGTCCAAAACACAGTAAAATATGAGAAATTAATTTTGAAATGTAGGACCCTCTTTCCCCTGCTGAGCTGAAGTTTCATAGGTTGGTATTGTTCTATTTTTTGTCTCTTTTGATTGTTTCACTTCTGGAACGATTGGTTTATTAAAGGGACATTAGCTACGAAGTCGACAAAAATAAAATGTTATTGTTTTTGTTTCAAACGTTTATAAAAGCGGAATAAAGAAATAATATTCCGCTATTAACAGTCAGTTTGGTTCAATTTCACCAAAATAAGCTAAAAAACATCTAGTGTATTATTGACTTGCAAGTCAGTAATTCAACTCATATGAATCCGCATGCATGCAATCTTTTAATTGGACATTAAGAGGAGATGGGTGCGCATGTGTTCACCATTGTTGTTCATTCACTAAAAAGAAAAGAATGTAACATTTAAAGTGAAACAAGGGGACCACTAGGAATAACCATTTTGTTGACTGATCCGGCCCACAAAAAAAAAACACTCTTATACAGGCATAACGATGATTTACACATTTTTGTTTACCTATAACATGAAATCAAACAGACCAAGAAAAATCTTCGGAGGTCATCTCGATGGATAATTAGATGACGTGTGGTCTAAATTACGTACGGAATGTTTTTATACATTATAGAGCCCGTGCATTGTTAATTGTTTCTTTTTGGTCTTTTTGTAATTTGGATATTCGTTTTAGTATGTTATAAATAAGGTATGAGAATTTGGGTCAAACCGGTGAACATGAATTCGACATTTACATTTAATGCCCCTTTAGATATTGGTTTCCAAATGTGTTTGTCTCAGACATCATCGCTGAGACAATATTTGTGGTACAAGTCTAAAACATCACCGACGACACATTGTTTGTGGTACATGTCTCAAAGGTCACCGATGAGACATTATTTGTGATACATGTCTCAAATGTCACCGATGAGACATTATTTGTGATACATGTCTAAAAGGTCACCGGTGAGACATTATTTGTGGTACATGCCTCAAACGTTATTGAGGAGACATTTTTTTTTGTGGTACATGCCTCAAACGTCACTAAGTTGGCATTATTTGTGGCACATGTCTCAAACGTCACTAAGTTGACTTTACTTGTGGCACATGTCTTAAACATGACAGATGAGACACTATCTTTGGTATACATGTATCAAACGCCGCAGATGAGACATTATTTGTGGTACATGCCTCAAACGTTATTGAGGAGACATTTTTTTTGGTACATGTCTCAAACGTCACTTAGTTGGCATTATTTGTGGCACATGTCTCAAACGTAACAGATGAGACACTATCTTAGGTACATGTGTCAAACGCCACAGATGAGACATTATTTGTCGTACATGTCTCAAACATCACCGATTAGAAATAATAAGATGTGGTATGATTGCTTATGAGGCAACTATCCATCAGTGACCAGAGGACAAAGATGTAGACTGCATTTATAGATCACCAAATGGCCTTAAACACTAGCAAGCAAAACTCACACTATATAGTAAGTTATTAAAGGCCCCGGCATGACAAAATGTGAAACAATTAAGAAGAGAAAACAAACGGTCTGATTTTATGCTTAAAGCTTAAAACGAAAAACAAATATGACAGACAACAGCCAACGAAATTCACTGAATAACACCAGGTTCCTAACTTGGGACAGGTACATAAAGGTTGTAGCAAGGTTAACATACCCTAACATTGGACAAGGTGAGACAGCACAGTACAAACTGTTAAGATCATTTGGCTTGATTCATCAGATGGGCACGAAGCATAAAACAACTGACAATTTGTCAAAGAGACAAAAGCCACAAAGTACCGATCTAAGAGTATTCTCAGTTACTGAAGCAAGTTCATAGCCAAATTTAATGCTTATTTATATTTTGTAAATGCTTAATTCTGTACTTATAGGTTGACAGAAACAAGTATCGAAAATGTAGTTTTCATTTATCTGGACAAAAATATTGGATATAGTTTATTTCAACAAAAATACAAATCTCAAATAACAGTTCTGAAAACAATAAAATAAAGTTGTTCCTGAAAATCAAAAAAGCCATTCTCGTGTTTCTTCCACTCATTCAATAATAGACACGACACATTCATTTCATTCATTCAAAATAAAAATGTGTAATAAATCTTCGCAAACGTGGATGGACATGCATTTCCTTTGAGATTCTTGAGAAATATTCGAGCTCTTTGGTTAAATCTGATATGTTTTTTCTCTGAAGTATTAATTCAGTGCCTTTGTTATCATCAGCTATACACTTGTATACAAAATTGCTCTAAAACATCGTCCTCGGCCTTACAACACTGGTCATACACCTCAATACTGTCATAAAATCTGCCACAAAAGTAACATATAGCGTTATAAGTTTCGTCCACTAGACATCTTGTAGTTTGTAATTTACTAGACACAGATCTTTTCACTTTTGTTGAAAAAACTACTTCATTTCTTTGTGAAAGTGCCTGTTCGGATGATTGACTATTGGATGAAAGGCCTCGTCCGGATGTTTCTTTCAACGACGAGCGTGTAGGATGACTAGACACAAATGTCACTATTACTGCCAAAAATAAAATAGTCCATATCTCTAAACACGATACTTTTAACTGAAATGAAATTAGAAAAATAAAATATGTATATATAGTTGAAGATTCTGAAAGGTATATACAAAAAAGTTATTAAAAATGTTCATAAAAAACCGAGCTAATTCAAGATGGTTACTCACTTTCTTTGTTAATTTTTGTCATTTTTTATGTTTCCGTAACTAATAACAAAAAATGAATGATCAGAAAGCAAAGTCTGCCTACGTGTTAAAAGCGAAAGATCATAAAGGCTTTTACGATAGGAAATTTCATTACTTCTGTAGACACCTTGTTTAGCTTTAATTCCTCAGTAACGGAAGTCTCTTTTCTGAGATGTCTTTTAGACAATGGCTAATTAAACAAACAGAATTCCAAAACGGATGTCGACTTAGCTTTATTATAGTATCAATACATAATTATTCACAATCTGAAATGTTATCCAAATCATAAAACAAATAGAGACGATTCTAATAAGTACGATTTGTTCGATTAATTTCTTGTTTTACCATAATGGAGTTTAATGTCCACTCGTAAGTGTTTACTCAGTATCACGTGTTCTACTGATGACAAAATATGAGACAATTTACTGACAAGAAATGCAAATATTATCAAAATTCTTGGGACAACTAAACAGTCCATCCTACCAATAACCTCACGGCGTGTTCGACTCGTGAGAACAGTGTTGACAATTCACTTCAGATAAGAGGTAAACCGTGTTTCATATCGTCTGTTGCAAAACCAAAACAATGCAGTGAATTTATAATTTTGGTGATAAATATTTAATATCTGGTAGAAATGTGGTCACCTGAACAATGTGAATCAACTTATTCTTTTTAGCTATTCGATCTTGCTTTGAATATACTTTACAAAAGTCTGATATTCAAATTTTGTCAAGTAATTATTTATTTCAAATAGATCATTAAGTTTTTAATGTTGCATCGCACATATAATCTACCAGTTTTAAGGTTCATCTATACACTTCCACAATAATGGCTGTGTTTACACCATGAAATTTTCTCTGAATGCAGACAAAACTGTGTAATTCTTATAGTTTTAAATCCTGGCAGCACCTAGATATATACAAGTTGTATTCATTTTGTGTTTTAAAAAGAAAAAAACTTTTGTGGATTTTGCTAAACATTTTCTTTCCTTGCCACAGGTGGTGTAAAAATAAACAAAGTCATGTGAAATCTTTGAGATGGCCCCCCTCAGGTAATGATTGTATTGTATCATATTGATTGATATGGACAATAGAGGAACAATAGAAATCTACTCACAACAAAGGTGATTTAAATAGTGTAAATGAGTGGACTGTATCAAAGAAAACTCGGGTGTTTGTCTATTTCACCATCTTCTGTGACAAGTAAAGAAAATGTTCATCAAAATCCATAAAGTGTTTTAACTTTTTATAACATAAATTGGATGTAACATTAATTTATCTAGGTGCTGCCAGGCATTAAAACTTTTAAAATTACACAGTTTTGTCTGTACTCAGAGAAAATTTCATGGTGTAAACACAGCCATTTTGTTCAAGTGTATAGATGAACCTTAATTGCAACTTGTTTTTGAAAACAGTTACGAATTATCGAATGAACAGGGATACATCCTCTATCATACCAACATTGAATATATAGACAAGACATTAAAAATACAAATAATTTACAAAGCATTAATTAGTCAATCTTCCAGAACTGAATTTAGATGAACACACATAATTGTCTAAATTATTTAAAGCTTAAAATTTTTAGTATATATAATTCAATACTCAATAGTCTATTAGAATCTACCACCCCGTAAGGTCTCTTAAGTTCGAATCCCTGGCCGGGTCAAACAAAAGATATTTGCTTTTTCCGTAAAACAAGCGGTATTCATGAGCAAGAGCAAAGATTGCTTGGTTTTGAGTCCAAATGTATCTGGGTAGTCACTAGTGTATAACATCTTCCTACTGACTCGACTCAGCTCATTGACTTAGAAACGTTGTATGCCGAAGTTCGGAGATATATATCATGAATCACTCCTTCTGTCCATGCTTTTTGATTGTATTGAAAAATATGAATGAAAGGTTATAAGGTTGGAAAGTTTATCTGCAAGGTCAAGGTCATACTCAAAGTTACAAATATACAAAGTTGTGTCCGATTCCGAACTTTTAAACGCTTCGAAGGATATTAATGATGCTTTATATTATTGTTGTCCACATTCGGACTTTTTCGCGAATAAGGATAGAAAGTCCACATGCAAGGTCACGTTCATACACATAGTTTCAAATTATCATATACAAACTGAAAGTGGTGTCCGCTTTAGAATTTGTGAACGCCTGGAAGGATATTAATGATGCTTTGCATTATTGTTGTCCACCATCGGAGTGTTTCGCGATATTTCAAAACCAAGGTCAAACCTCGGGTCAAACTCATTGCTTCCTGTCTTATTCTCATTTAAAGCATTTCGTCTTAACGCTACAGGTTGGTATAGAAAATACAACTCAGAAATATTAATCTACCAACATATATAGTAAGGCAGGTGGGACACATTCATCCATCTATTTCAAACGCATTGAGAGTGTTAGATATTGTGCCATTGGAACGCAATCTATTAGACGACAGAAAATTATACAATAGTACATAATATAATCACACAAATCACGCTGTTGGTTTTTTTTTGTAATTCTTCACATTTGTCATACCACGGCCTTTAAAGAATAGCTTACTATACGGTATGAGTTTTGCCCATTGTAGAACGCAATACGGTGACCTGAAATTGTCCATATCTTTACCCGTTTGGTCTTTAGATATTTGTCTCATTGGCAATCATGTCACATATTCTTAATTGTTTGTTATCTAGGAAAATTACATATTTAGAGTACAATTTTATATAGAAATTGACAGGTCGGAGCAGTATTCGTTCATTTGCAGATGTGTATCAAGCTTTTGGTTTTTCTCAGTAGTTTAACTTTTGGTAAAATGTTTAGTTGTACACTTACTAAAACAAGATGTCTTGCTCTTTTTGTCTGTCCTTTCAGGAAGATTTTAATAATGTTATCTATTGTTCAACAATTTGAGAACTTTCTCCAGTATCAAAATTTAAGTTATCTATAGCCGACACCAAAGTTATGTTAGATGAACTAACATTTGTTTTGTATATTTGTTGCGTACACTCAGCATAAAATTGAGGGGTGACGATTCTTTTCATATCTAGCAAATGACCAAGATGTCGTTTACATTTTTTTTTCTTTTAAAAAGACGGATGTAATAACAGTGTATTGAAATCAGTTTGTAATATAAAGTAAGATATGTGTTTCTGGATTAACATTCACTTGGTATGCTCCAGATTTCACTTTGTATGCTACAGATGTTTAACGTTGGGAAACAAAAAAACGTTTAACAGCACCGAAACTAAGAGGTTCTGGACAGAAAAACGTCGGCCTGGTGTCATATTTGCCTGTGTGAGTCACTACCATGGTAAAATAACCATATAACATATATCTTGTAATTTACAATCAAATTATGCTTCCGGGGCGTGACAATCTCGGGACTTATATTGCTCTGACAAGGGTACTGTGAGGGGAGAATACGGAAAACTATAAACCAAAAGATCTTTAAAACTTCGTAAACAATTGTAGTATTTCATATATAGACATAATCTTTTTTTAAACTTATCTCGAGAAATGAAGTTTTACATATATAAATGAATAATTTAAATTAAACAAATAGAATGGCAATTAATAGAAAAAATAATAATTTATTTTACGTAAAATTGACTCACCATGATTATATACACTTTGATAACGTCCTACCCTTTAGGTGAATGTCACTTTACCACAGATATTTAAGATATGACCTGTTCTGATGCAATGTCTTTATATAGATAGATTCGCCCATTTATCAGGGATTAAATGAGTGAACAAACAACGAATACCTCTCCAACAAATGGGATAATGCATTACGCCCATCGATAACCAATAGAAATATCGGAACTTTCGGATATTGCCGTATCCGATTTCTGATTCAATATTAGACACAAATATTCCATCTTCCATAATTTTGTCATGCATTTTGAAACAAGTAAACACTGATTTAGTGGAATCTATGCTTCAGAATTGGGAAATATTTAAACAATATCTAAAGAAAAAATAAAATGTATCGACTTCACTAATCTCTATATTTGGTAGTGTTAAGAAAAGAAAATATTAGATAAAATCTGCTTCATTACTGATTGAAATGATTCTACCATACTGTCAAGGCTTTGACTTTAGAAATATATGAGGAAACTATTTGATGCGAAACATCTCGTCTTTCTTTGTAAATGATTTATGTTTTCTTTATTGTATTAGTTATGAATTCATGCACTAGTATAGGCTATGTCTATAGTTTATTGGTACTGATAGATGGGATTACTTTAGTTAATCTGACATACAAAGATGTGTCAGTTAAAATTTAAAAAAAAAATCACTTATTTATACATATCAACGTTATTTCGATTGTCAAAAAACTTGTGTGACTACAGTGGCTTACCAAATCAAAGCCAACACAAGAACTTGCACAATTAACAGCTCGTAGTACCATTTAAAAACCGACACCCCTGCTACAGAAGTTTTTGAATTAAATCAAGATATGTAAGAATGATTCATAACTTTGTACGTCGTAAGTCAATGCTCGGAAGATCGAATATTGACACACTACACTTGACTTAATAAAATTGTCCTAAAACTGATGCAAAAACTTCAAAGAATAGAAGAAAAGTAAAAAATAGAAGTAATAAGATGAGGAAGGCGAATGATCACAACAATCCCCTCGTTACTGAGACGGTCATATCAGATTAATAAGTTTCCAAAATAAAGTATAGTACAAGACATAAATTTTGTTATTTCTATATAATTTTTAATTTCTGTCTATACAGTTATCTCATACGATATCTTTGTGGGATTTCACAATACTTGAAATATATCATAGACATTCTTTGTTTATCTACAAAGTCTCCTGTCGACCTCTGTTCATCATCTGTACATGCCCATTTCTCAGCAGTGTCGACTAGCAAAGAGAGGCGAAAGACACCAAAGAGATATTTAAACTCATAGATCCAAAACAATGTCATGGCAAAAAACAAAAAACGACGAAAAGACAAGACGTATGAGGAAAAATATTTATAAATATTTGGTTACTTTTAACTAAAACGTAAAGCCAACTCAACTGATTGGTTATGAATAGGAGCACGTTAACACATATTTTTTTTTAACTACAGGAACTGGACCTCATAAGTTCATGGTCGTAGTTCAGAACTTTAAAAGGTGTCCCTTGTCCAATATGTGGTCCTTTTTAAAAATCTATTTCGAAATAGAAAAGTTATCTATTTTTACAATTGCGTATAAATAAATCGAAGGACAAAATAGAAAAAATCAAAAATAGAAAAATATTCTTATCAGCAAGGACGTCGTATGATTCAGACAACGTGTAAATACTGTATGGTCTTACTTCAGTTTGAAGTGCAAATTGATAGCATCATCTGAGGAGCTCACTGGTCATTTGACCCAGACACAATCCTATACGCTCGCACCATGTGATAGGTATATACAAATTTGATATCTCTATATTCAATTTTTAGGGAAAACCGTTATTTATTTAGCTTATAATCCAGACAAAGTAACCAGGAAAATATGTAAGCCAGACAGAAAAGAACTTGTTTCAGCCCGACATCAGCATTATGCAACTTTTATGTAAATCCCTAAGTTACCTCCCATTCACCTTTTGTGGGTGCATGGTTTTATGTAAATTTTCTGTAAACAATTATTTGTTTCCATTGAAAATAGGGGTAAAAGTAAACACGGCATTTAGTTTAAAAAAAAAATTGCTCTTGTTTCTTGTTATCGATTTATTTTAATATAAATCGTAAAAAAAACCATGCCCAACAAAAGATGACTGTTAGGTTCTTAATCACCGAACTTTCTATATCTATGACATTGTCTACTAGCTGTACGGTATATTGATACCAAAGGTATAAAACATTGTATTTTAACTAAAATATGTAGAAAACTCAACTTAATGATTTTGAATAGGAGCACGTTTACAAAATATTTGTTTTTATATTTTCAACTACATGCAGGAACTGGACTTCAAAAGTTCATGGTCACAGTTGAGAACTTAAAATTTAAAGGTGTCTCCCGTCCAATATGTGATTCACAACAAAGTACACAAGTCCCAAAATAACGTATGAAACAATGAATTTTATAAATATCTGACAATCACGCATGGATTATGTGATATATTTTCTCATATTTCAAGGCAACAATTGGATAAATGTATCATACTTTGTTAATATTTATTTGGGCTTATTTCGCATTTATTCTAATTCATAATTGTTTTTCATCATAATATTCAATATCATCAATGTTGAATGGGTGATCATGACGTGCCACACACATGAGAGCATGTTGATGTAATTTCTATTCCAATCTTAAAATATTTAAGGGCCTCGGAATGTTACTATGCTTAGATTTCACCAAAATTTGCCGAAGGAATGATTTCTATAAAAATATGGATATAAAACAAAAAATAAAGAATTGTAATCGATAATTTCAAAATATTTTTTGTCAACTTCCCGTTTTTGGCTAGCAGATACAATAGAAAAATAAGAAGACGTGGTATGCTTGCCAATGAGACAACTCTCCACAAGAGACCAAATGACACAGACATTAACAACTATAGGTCACCGTACAGCCTTCAACAATGAGTAAACCCCATACCGTACAAATGTACACGTTGAAAAAGACACCGATCATTCATCTATTTTGGGGGATGTTTTATTTTGAATTTCAAAATAAATATCTTGGTTCCTGTATATTATTGAAAGAAATTTATTTTTTAAATAAGTCGAAGTCGAAAAAAATTGTTTGTCACGAGAACATTCCCTACCCCCACCCCCATTTTCCACCCATGAAAAAAAAATTGGTTCCTGTATATTATTGAAAGAAATTTATTTTTTAAATAAGTCGAAGTCGAAAAAAATTGTTTGTCACGAGAACATTCCCTACCCCAACCCCCATTTTCCACCCATGAAAAAAAAATTGACGTAGGTTTCATTTGGAGAGGCTTTCAGTTTCAAGTTCATAAGACAGTATGCAAGTTTTTATTTTCCGTATTTGAATGATAATTAACAATTTTTTTAGCAGTTAAAGTTTAAAACAGCCTAGGGTTACAGATTTTGAGACATCAATAATTTTGTCAAACCTTTATAGAATGTTACAAAACTTTGACAGACGCTTCTTCATCACCAAGAAATAGCATCTGATGAAAAAGTCTTTTAACAAAAATTCCGATTTTACTTAGTTTATATCAGGGGGAGGGGCTTGAACGATCATAAACATATATAACCCCGAAATATTCTCTATGTATCTGTCCTAAGTCAGGAGACTGACATTCTGTAATTGGTGACATATGATTGTTTATATTCACATTTGGACTCATGTGGATAGTTGTCTCATGGGTAACAATACCACATGCATCGTCTTTTTTTTTATAAGGATGACTTTGAGGGAATATGAAGTTATGCTATGGCAATTTCTTAGTGTGCTTTTAAACACTTTTTATATTACTGCGTATAAATACGCCGAGTGATGTTATCGAGTGCAAATTAGCATTCTTTATCGCTTCATATATTTTAATAGTAACAATGAAATTTCAAGAACAAATTTTTTTAAGAACATTTGTTTGTAAAATTAATATGTTTTGTCGTGTGAAATATTATATATCGGTTAAAAAAAATCATGAATATCTGAGTACACGGCTAATCTTGATTTGACGAAGTACGTATACCTTGAGTATGAGATTTTTATAACTTAGAGAATAAGTGTTCGATAGATATTTTTATGCGTTTGTCCGTATTTTTATTAAATCATTATAAGCCTATGTTTCTAATTTCAAATCCAGTTTTCAAGAGTTATATTATATCACGACTGGTATAAATTATATGTATTTATCTACAGAACACCACGGAATGGGGAATGGTGACTGTTTAATACAATCACGTCTGATCGACATTCTAACATTCATTAATTAAATGCATTATCCAGTCTTCAGAGAGTGCAAAACACATTTAACCATTTTTTCTGTTGTCCCTTTCGACCCAATGTGCCCAAAGAACCTGGCCAATTGATTATGATAGATACTAGAATGTTAACGTCTTAAAAGTGGCTGAAATGTTAGACACTCGACGTGAGATATATAACAACTACTAGTAGTCTACATGGGGATGGAAATCTGTATGATTTATTCGCAAGCCATCAGATCTTGGGTTCATCCGAGTAAACAGTACGTCAGTACCTTGATTATAATATAAATTTTCTGAAATTGTGTAATGCCCGAGTCTTATATTGCTAAATATACGGTATGGATTTTGCTCGTTTTTAAAGATATTACATTGCCGTATCGTTGTTTACATCATCTTCCTTTGGTTTCTGGTGGTATATACAGTATATAGATACTGTATATGACAGTCAGCACACGTTTAAAAATTGCGGTTTTTATCCAACGCAATCATAGGTTTGAACGTTGTTTTCAATTTAGACTTATTCATAGATATATATAAATAGTTTTCTCGTACCACATATACTTATTTTTATAGATTAACTTTCCATAGTTAACTTAATAGTCCGAAATGTACACCGATTATAAACTTTATACATACGTTATTACATTATATAATCGAATCATACACACTTTATTTAAACTCGTTTTAAATACATATTTATTGGGCTTTTGTGTGTATTTAAAAACTCACCAAGGATACTGTACTTCTCTAAGATATTTTACCCGGTAATTCTAATCAACAAACAAAAACTGTCAATCAATACC